ATCCAAGGGATCAAAACATCAGGGACTTCACCCTTGGTGCGCAAGGGGAAGACCGTGGTGTAACGCGAGTAGTCGTCAACAACGATCAAGAAGTACCTCTCGTGACCCTGTCCACGAACGCGGGCTGGGCCCCACACGTCCATGTGGAGCGTCTGCAAGGGAGCAGTCGTCGGGGGAAAGGAGGAGGAGTGAGGAGTGGCGCGCTGCTGCTCCTCAACACAGGGAAGACAGGGAGGAGCAGGCGAGGGTGGGAGGGGAGGGAGCACCCTGGGAAGACCAGAGACAAGGTACCGGGAGTGCATGCCACGAAGGTGCTGCACGGACGGGTGACCAAGGCGGTGGTGCTAGAGGACAGTCTGGTGCGACAGGGAGCGACACGAGCAGGGGGCCGACAGCTGACCTGACGCAGACACAGACGCAGCTACCTGAGGGGACTCATTGGTCAGTGTGTACAGGTCCGACCCCGGCTGCCGAGTGAACATAGCCAAGTGGCGACCCGTCCGAGCACACGTGCAGTGTGTCATGCGCTCGTAGGCGGGGGTGAACTGGTGAACACCCCCGTCCTGGAGCGCACTACCTGCCACCAAGTTCGTAGAGAACGAGGGGAGGTAGAGACCTGACAGTGTGCCCGACGGGGCCGCAGGACAGGGGAGGACAGTGGAGGAGGTCGCAAGGACCGGACCCCCAGAGGGGTCAGCGAGGGAGACTGCAACTGGCCGAGCAAGCTGCTCAAGGGCAGTGCGGTCACGAAAGAAAGAGCGAGAAGCACCTGAGTCCAGTGTGAAGGTGTGTAGTGCCTCAGTAGACTCAGCACCAGAGGGCGTAGACTCACGAGTACCTAGAGCAGCAGCCTCACCAGCACCTGGGGCAGCAGACACGTGAGCACCTGGAGCGGCAGCCTCACCAGCACCTGGGGCAGTAGACGCACTAGCACCTAGAGCGGCAGCCTCACTGGTCCGAATGCCCAGATCGGGCGGAACTCACAGCTACTTGGCACTCTCTCCACTATCAGACATCACATACATGGCACCAAGAATAGCATCAAAGTCAAGAGCATAGACATCAATGTTCTTCCTCAGTAGATCAACCCAGCGGGGCAGTTCAGTGGCACCAGGAAACTAAGTACGCCAGGCGTCGTCAATGGGGGAGAAGCAGCGTTGTGTGGTGTGCGCCCTTCCACACGTCTGACCAGTGTGGTCACCTGTGCGGATGACGTACGTGCAGCTAAGGCCACCCCCCCCCCCCCCCAATTCTGAGAGTACCACTAACGAAGCTCCTGGGGCGACAGATTTTGCTGCTTGCGCTGACCACCACCTCGACCACCACCTCGACCACCACTGCCCTTGCCGCCACCACGTCCACCGCCGTTACCACCAGCGCCCCCACCCCGGCCACCTCCTCCGCCAGTGCCGCCACCACCCCCGCTGCCGCCACCACTCCCACTGCTGCCACTAGCCCCTCCAGCCCCGCCACCACCCCCTCCACCGCCACCGCCCCCACCACCGCCTCCCCCGCCGTCACCGCCACCTCCCTTGCCCCCTTTGCCCTTGCCGCTGCGGCGCCCACTCTGAGTGGACGCAGTCCCGACCTGCTCAGTCCCTAGGAGGTCGCCAACAGCAGCAGAGGCGACAGAGGGGAGAAGGGGGGAGGGGAGCACCCCTCGAAGAAAGGGGTGCGGGGGTCACCACGAGAGGTGCCTACAGCAACTATGCTAGCCTCAGCTACAAGAAGTTCCTTCTCAAGCAAAGCAATGGTGAGCTCAGTGGGGCAGCGAACGAGGAAGTGGTCCCTAACCGCACGAAGAGAGTCAGGGAGATGGGTGACTAGGTGGTAGAGAGTCAGCCACAGTGGGGGGGGGTTCTTGGCAAGAAACTCAGCGGGCATAGCGGCACGGAAGCGGGCCTCACTAGAGCGGAGGTGTGTGATGAGGTCAGTGACTGTGGAGAAAGCGGACAGGTCTGGGAAAAGTAGGGGAGCGAGAGACGGCCTAGCGTAGCAGAGGCAGGTGAGGAGTAGCATGCAACTACAGCAGTGTACAGTGCCTGTGCAGTCTTGTGCTGGCCAAAGTGCTCGCGCTCATCTATCGGCAGAGAGTTGCGAATAGCGAAGCGAGCGTGGGCGTCATGAGTCTGCCACTGTGAGCGGGCAGTGCTGTCAGCAGTAGCAGCAGGGGCAACAGTGTGTCCTAGCGCGTGATCGTACAGTGAAATATCCTCCTTGGCAGTGAGCTGGAGATACAGGTGCAGGTCATCTAGTCAGGTGTCAAACTTCAGTGGGCGGCCCTCAGCATCGAAAGCTAGCACGGTAGGGCTAGCCATAGTTGCAATAATAGCAGTAGTGGCGGCTGTAACAGCAGTAGTGTCAGTAGTAGTGACAGCAGCAGCAGTAGCGCGGCTCGGTAGGGCGGCGCGGCTCGTTGGGGCGGTGCGGCTCGGTAGGGCAGCGCGGCTCGGGTGGGCGGCGCGGCTCGGGTGTACTGCGCGGCTCGGGTGTATTAGGGCGCTAGCGGGGCTGCAAGGGCAGGGCTGCGCGGAGGGAGGCACGCGAGGGCGTGCATAGTGGGGTGGGGCCTGGTCTCACGGGGCACGCAAGGGCAGGCTAGTGGGGCGGGGCCGGTACTCGAGGGGCACGCAAGGGCGTGCAGAGTGGGGCGGGGCCTGGTCGCGCAGGGCACGCATGGGCGAGCTAGCGGGGCAGGGCCGGTTCTCGAGAGGCACGCAAGGGCGCGCGGGTGGGGCAGAGCCGGCCGCACGGGGCACGCAAGGGCGCGCGAGGAAGGGCGGGGCCGGTTCGTACGGGGCGCGCAAGGGCGCGCGGGGCAGCGGGTCGCACGCTAGGGCGTACTAGGAGGGCGGCGCCGATCGCGCGGGGCATGCTAGGGCGTGTGGGCTGGGCGGGGCCGATTCGCAAGGGGCACGCTAGGGCGCGCTACGGGGCAGAAAAAGAAGCGCGCTCGAGGGCGCGACTAAGCGAGGCGCGCTCGGGCGCAACTAACGGAAACGATGGGCCCTATCATCGGTCCTAGGTTACGACCTAGGCTCGTAATACCATGTTAGAATCTAAGTATGAACGAGGAATGATGAAACTAGGCATCAGGGGGATACAGGAAACCCTAACAAAGTTGTACCCCCTACGGCTAAACCCACTATAGCCTACACAATATAAACATATATAATGTTTGACTCTTTTTTGCGATGTACAAGAGATCATATGATGGCTTACATTTCAGAGGTACATCCTATTATACTAGGATACTACCTATGGCGCCTCGAGCAGGTCGCTCGGGTCGCCATTCACCTTCCTAGAGCTAGGAACAGCAAGGCAAATCATTTATTATTGCGTACATAGCATCCTAGCCTTGTTGTTTAGTCCTAGAACCAATCAGCAAAGTCTGGGAAAACACTAATGTAATGGGCAGAGATTTCTCTGTCTTGTTGTCTTCCAGGTCGTCGTTGATCATGATGAGTACGGGCACTGCTGGAAGTAGTCGTAGCTGTAGGGTCTTGTGCTGTCAAGTAATCTGCTGCGCTGTAGGTAGTTCTCTGCCCCGTTGTGTCCAGCACTAGTGTGCTCTCTGTACTTTGTTCCCACGGTTGGAAACTCAGAAAGTTGGGTCGCACATTTCAATGTTGGAGTTTCAACATTGAGGACGTGTCTCACTTCCGACGAGTCTGCAAGCCGGTCCGCTCTTAGAAATGTTGCACCCCAAAACCGTGGACTGGTCTGCAGGACCAGGTTGAGTCCGTACTGGCGAACCAGCTTCGGACTGGTCCGCTGATGAAATCTACATTGGCGTGAAGGCGAGAACACTGCGTGTTTTTCCCAACACTACGTTACTATGACTCGTAAGGGCTTCATGTCGTTGGGCAATCCGCCATCGCACGCTGTCAAGTTTTGCGACACATGTGGGGTGAGTTCGCAACTATTCGTGAAAATACCTCTGTTCATGAGTCCGACGTGGACCAGCTCGCCGAACCAGTCAAGACTCCCCATTACAGTCCTTTTCGGTCGTTAAAACATGCGAAGTTGATTTGTGGACCAATCCTGGCAGACGATTCACGAGCACCGAGTATGGCTCTCCCTCCGAGCTCTTCGCCTCTCTGTAGCAACTGACCTGTGGTAACAAGCCACCTGGTACCGCAAGTGCCACGCTGTCACTCCAAGTTGTCTGGGTTTCTGCTCTTCCTCTTCGGCTGGCTGACGGTAGGTGTTCTCCCGTTACTTGCTACCTCTCACACGTGGTTGTCCTGCAGACATGACAAGTGGAAGCCCTCAGTCCAAGTTACAAGGAGCTATGCGGCTCTCCCCGGTCCCCGCCTCTTCTCCAAGAATTGTACTTGCCGATTTGTAAAGTTTTCCCTGACTAAAAGTCTTGGCTCAATCTGCTACGTGTCCTCCAACCGACTCCTCATTTGCTCAATCCTGCGTTTCGGCGCCGGATCTGCTCAAGCGAGGTAAGTTCCCCACTGTCCGGTGTTCCTGGCCCACCTCAACTAACACCAACTTCTCCAGTTCACTCCGCGTGCCCGCTCTCGGCTCATTGCTCTCCTCTGTTTGACGCGTGGTGGTTGTTGAGAGCATGCAAATTTCCCTACCAGGCCAGACACCTCAATACCACCTCACGAGACGGAGTGGCCACATACCAACCGAGTTGGGTTGACTCCTCTGTGCCTGCATGGTCTTTCTCCCCGTCAGACTGGCACTCTCTCACGCCAGCTGACTCTCTATGTGCCTTTCCACTCAATGCCGCTCAAACGCTCTTTCATGAGTCGGTCCATCATATTCCGTTGCGCCATGGCGAAAGCCTCAGCCAACTCGTGCCAAGCGCGCTTCCTCTGCCTTCTTCTCACTGTCATTCGAATGCCATCGCGCCTCGTAGGGCGTACTGGACAATCCCTGGTTATTTAACCCTTTCTCAAACAAGGATCCGTCGCACCTCCCGCTTGGTTAGCTCTCTCCACAAGCTAACCATGGAGCACTCGTCTGCCTTTGACGCGGTTATGGCAGACAACGCATGGATCGCCCCCTCGTTCAGTGACCTTCTCGGAGACGGGTCCCCCGTGGCCAAGAAGGCGTGTAAAGCCATCTCTTCCTCCTCCTCTAAGCTCCTGGCCGCGGCCTCGCGCCCGGCTTCTGCGGTGAATGTTGAAGTCTCGTCCACTCCTTCGATGGGTGCGCCTGGCAAGTGCTTCCGTCGTCTCTGTGCTCAACGAGACATGGTCAGTCAGACTGTGACTGATGTGAAGCGTGACCTGGATGCGCTTGTCGCCGTGATTTTCCCTGAGAACCTCGCTGAGTCATATCGCAAGGATATTGTTGCGTGCATCAAAAAAATTCTCCGTCGTTCCGATTTCAAGAGTTGGCAGATTCCCTCCTTCAAGTCGATGGCTAGCGAGAACTTGAAGTTCGGTAAGCGAACTTACGCCTGGCAGATCCTTCAATTCCCTAACAAGGAAGCGGCCAAGGACTTCGCGGCCCGCCCTCCGATTTTCTTCTCTCCGCCGCATGGCCCTGCTGTCGAGCTTAAGGTCTACGTCGACCCCGCTCCGGATTTCACCGCTGCTAAGGCGCGCGGCGAGACGCACATTGTCGTTCGCAACATCCCGCTGGACCTCACTGAGGAGAAGCTAATCAGCATCCTGTTGAAAGGCAAGAATCGCGACGGACAGAAATGGATCTCTGTCCTCTTGCACTTCCACACTGCCTCCAATCCGTACGAGGAGATGTTCCAGCTGCAGATGCATGGCATCGTCAAACCAATGATCGGTGATGAGTCGTTCAGCGTTACCCCACCAGTGATCTGGATCGACGACGTGCGCGAGCCTGTCCTGGTTAACCTCTCATGCCACTCCTGTGGCATCTACTCGAGCAACCATCGTACCAGGGACCACCATGTGTTCCCCACTCTGCGCCGCGACAAGATCAACAACCCGTACACGATCTCGGTCGCTCAGCTGCAGAACGTTAATGGTACACGTTCGGCTTTTTCTTCCTGTCCCAATGCCATTTGTGTGTGTCAGGCGCATTCTCATTTTTTGTGGTGTAATGTTTCTATCCTGCCCAGATTACTGCTCTCCTTAGGCTTCCCTCTAAGCTTGTCAATCACGGGCTTGATGTTCTCAACGGTGTCATACCCTTCTTCCTTGTTCCTTTACTCCCCTGACAGCCAAAGCGCTTGGACACTCGCCTGCTGCCAACAGTATCAAGTAGGACCTCGGACTTCTTTTCATTGGACTCGACAGCGATGTCGAGGTCTGGACCTGCTGCGCCTGCAATTTCATTTGCGGATGGACTATCGACACGGCACTCGCTCATGGCGGCTCGCCGCAGCATCTGCGTCGTGTGCAGGCGTCTGGTCCCCTCCTGAAAGAGGAATTCTTGGACTTGAAGGCTCATGAGTTCCTGAAAAAGAACGACAAGCTGGTGAAGTTCTTGGCCGAAGAATAGCACTTCTGTGGATGCGTTCCACGCCTTGCTCTGTGTTAGGCTTCAGTGACCGGGTGGTCCTCACTCTCTGGGGATGCGTGTTCCGTGTACTCAGGTTGCCTAAGTCTATTCTATGCTTCATGGCTGTCTCCTCTTTTATAGGCTGGGCATTGCACCTCTGTATTCTTGTGCTGCCTAATCAGACCTGGTGTTGCAGCTTTCCTCCCTGCTGTCTATCGCACAGTACTTTTCACCCCGTGGATCTGTGTGCTCCAGCACACAGGGGTTTAAAACTGGCCTTAATATGAATACACACCTCTCCATTCAATGTCTCAATATTTACGGTCTTAATTCAGTAGAAAAAATGGATGAACTAAAATCTTGGTTACACACTCTCCCGGATATACTTGTGCTCATTGATACACGCCTTTCCATCAACTTCACAAAATTGCGTTATAAGTTGAAACCCACGGCATACGCTCAGGTTCCGCCTGTTCTCACGCCTGCACAAACGTTCTCTAAAGGTATCGCCATCCTGGTGTTCAACCGTCAGATTAAGCTTTCTAACAAACTAGCCTCGGTGGATGGAAGAATACTGAGCATTCATTGCTTTTATTTGCACGAGAAATTTCGACTAATCGCAATCTATGTCTCAGAATAGGAATGCAACGGAATGATGAAACTAGGAAGTGTGGAAGTACAAATATGCAACCCTAACAACTGTACTCCCTATTGTGCTGCTAACTGTAGCCTACAACCATACACTTTCATTTGACACACCCCCATAGGCTAAGTGAGGGGCATCAAAACAAGCAAGGTGAACAAACGGTCACAAGACCAGTCAAAGCAAGAAACAAGGCAAGCTCAGGGTGGATCTCAAGGACACCACACAAATTCCGAGCGCAAGCAAGCGGCCACAAGGCATGTTCAAGAGTTCACTAGGATATAAATAGGAAGCACAACAAGTAGAGCAAACAACAAGACTACAGCAACCGAGGGCCTACCTCAACAAGCCCCAACTGCACACAGAACCTGTGGTGATCACCAAGCGCCAAGGCCTTGGTGAAGACGTCTGCAGTGTTGGCCTCTGAGGCCACAAAGTCCAGGCGTGCCTGGCCGCGTCGCTGCAGCTCTCGCAGGAGGAAGTATCTCACGTCAATATGCTTCACTCTGCTCTCCAGTCAAGGCTCTCGACACAGGAGGATCATGGCCTTGTTTGCGTACAAGGTAGTTGCAGAGCGAGGCCGCTCACCAAGGTCGGCGAGCAAGAAGGTCAACCAGCGAAGCTCTTGTGCCGCCATGGCACCAGCGTAGATCTCTGCCTCTGCACTGGAAGTAGCCACAGACGACGACCGTGTAGACCTCCACGACACAGCACCAGCTCCCAGACTGAAGCAGTAACCCTGAGTCAAGCGCTGAGTCTCCACGTCGTCAGCGTAGGAAGAGTTGCAGTGACCAGTCAACGCCACTGGCTGAGTCCCTCCAAGCACAAGCCCCATGCCTGATGTAGTCGCCAAGTACTTCGCCACCCTCACAGCAACTGTCCAGTGGATAGGGCGGTGTCTCCCAGTCGTTACAAAGCGAGAAAGGATGCTGAGGGGAAAGGCGAGGTCCGGTCGAGTACAAGTCATCAGGTACATGAGGCAGCCCACCAGCTCTGCGTAGGGTCCACTGGACTCGAAGGGCTCGTCACGAAAGGGGCCCGTGAGTCTGTGGTCAACAGCAAAAGGAGTGGGCTGTGTGGTGGAGAGCTGGAAGTCGAACCGCCGAAGGACCTGCTGCACCATGTGTGACTGCGTCAGTGTGATGGTGCGAGCGGCTCTGTCCCGGGTGATCTGCAAGCCAAGGTAGCGCTGCAGCTCACCCAGGTCAGTGCACTTGTGTCTCTTCTGCAGTTCGGACTTCACCTGAGCCAGGGCTGCCCTGTCAGCTGTAGCAAACACCAAGTTGTCAACGTAGACAAGGATAAAGAAAGGAATAGAACCCGCTCGAACAAACAGCGACGGGTCGGCGGAGGACGGGCTGAACCCAAGGTCACGAAGCGTGGAGCGAAGAGTATCGTGCCACTCACGGGGTGACTGGCGGAGACCGTAGACTGGTCGCCTCAGGCTCCACTAGGTCCCAGGTGGGAAGGTGTCAGTGAAGCCAGGAGGACGGCGCAGCCATATCTCCTCGTGCAGTCGGCCCTGGAGGAACGCAGTGGAGAAGTTGAGGGAGTGCAGCTCGTAGTCTCGCTGCGCTGCTATGTGGAGTAACACCCGAAGAGTAGTCATCTTCGGGGTCGGGGCGAAGGTCTGGAAGAAGTCAACTCCCTCACGCTGTCTGAAGCCCCTAGCCACGTAGCGCGCCTTGAACACCGGCGGTGCTCCAGGCGGCCGCTTCACCTTGAAGAGCCACATGCCATCGACTGCGTTCGCCTTGGGAGGGGGAACTACGTCGACGTAGGTGCCTGTGGATCTCCAAGACGCCAACTCTGAGTCCATAGCCGCTTTCCACAGAGAGGCCCACGCCCCTGCCACTGCCTCGCGGTAAGTCCGAGGAGTCGGTATGTCAAGGGCGTCAAGGTCTCCCTCAGGGGAGAGCAGCATGGCACACACAGAGGGAGAAGCGGCTGCCCAGTACTCCAGCTCAGACTCTCTGTCCTCTAGGACGTCATAGCCAAGGGCAAACCCACCCCCGACGGACAGAGGACGGTAGGGAGGAGCTGGCACCACCTGGGTGGCGTAGTCAAGGCGGCTAGCGGCAGCAAACTCAGTGACAGCAGCAGTAAGAGCCGAGGCAGACGACGGAGGGAAACAAGAGTCAGTGACAAGAGTGACGAGGACACGTGCGGCAACAGGACGAACGGTGCGGTAGTAGTCAGTTATAGGAGTGGGGAGGGCTGGTAGAGAGGACGGAGGAGGAGACGGGAGAACGGAAACAGGAGAACGAGAACGACGACTGGACGAACAAAGGAGGGCAGTGTGGAGGTCAGTAACAGGGGACGAGTGACGAGCACGCGGAGGACAACGAGTGATCAAGTCGTGACGGACAGAGTGAGGAGGAGACCAAGGAGGAGGAGAAGACCAGATCGCCGGACGGTCGTCAAGAGGAGGCAACGGAGGAACAAACACAGGAGGAGACTGGGAGCGGACAGGAGGAGAGGAGGAAAGGCCAAGGGCCCGCAAGCCACTCACAGGTGGGAACAACTGCCGCTCCAGAGGAAGCTGCGGTGGCGGCTGCGGCTGCTGCTGCTGCTGCTGCTGGCGCTGCTGCTCTAGAAGGTCCAACACCCGCAGCTCCTGCCGCTCCCTCTCCAACCGCTCCTGCTCCTCACGCTCACGCCGATGGGCAGCCTGGAGACGCGTGTCGTGGCGGTGGGGAGGCGGAGTGGACTCCACAGAACCAGGGTCTCCAGCGTCAGTCTCCTCAGACTCAGCACCCCCAGAACCCGCACCTCCAGTGCCAGGTCCTCCAGCTCCAGCACCCCCAGAACTAGCACCTCCAGTGCCAGCACCTCCAGCTCCAGCACCCCCAGAGCCAGCGCCACCTGCGCCAGCACCTCCAGCTCCAGCACCCCGCGACCGAGCACCCCCAGACCGAGCACCGCCGGCGGCTGCACCTCCAGCTCCAACACCAACCGAGTCCACAGTAACCTGTCGCGGAAGTGCTGAAGGCTGCTGAGGGGACTGTGAGGAGGACTGCGGGGAGGGAGACGCTACCTGACACGCGACCGAGGGTAGAGGGGTAGCGTGGGACACACCAGACGGGGCAGGACCAGGGGGGAGCGGGGGTACCGGAGGAGCAGGAGCAGGAGGAGGAGAGGGTGCTAGGAACAGGGGGGGAGGGGGTACCGGGAGACCTCGACAGGGGTACCGGGTGTAGTAAGACACAGACTCGTCAAACCGGACGTCACGGGAGTCTAGGAACTGGTGGAGGGGTGGGTGGTAAAAGGACCAGTCGGCAGAGTCCACTGGGAAACCAAGGAAGACATAGGGGACGGTGCGTGCCGAGAGCTTGTCCGCGGAGGTGTCGCGAACAAGTGCAAGGCAGCCCCAAACTCGAAAGGCCGACCCAACACCAGTGGAACCAGTCCAAAGACTGGTCGGTGAAGCCGCGGGCCGCGAGACACGCGGCTGGAGGTTCAGCTGGTGTGCGGCGTAGCGAACCGCGTGAGGCCACAGAAAATGGGGCGCACGGGCATGGATCATGGACGTGCGGGCGATGTCCATGACCAAGCCTATGCGGCGCTTAGCAACCCCATTCTGCTGTGGGAACTCTGGCAGCGTCCAGGACTGGGTGATGCCCTGTTCGCCGCAGAATCCGCCGAGAATGGCGGAGCAAAACTCGCCCCCACGGTCGGACTGAAGAAAACTGACTCGACGACCACAAGTGCCCTCAGTGGCTAGAAGCCACCTGATCAGCGTAGCAGTCACCTCGGACTTCTTCGCAAGAGGGAACACTGTGGTGTACCTGGAGTAGTCGTCAACGACCACCAGAAAGTAACTCTCTCTCCCAGACCCCTGCGTCGGGGCAGGGCCTCAGACGTCCAAGTGGAGAGTCTCGAAGGGAGCGGTGGCCGGACGAAGGGAGGAGGAGGGGGGAGTGGCGCGTAAGCGACCGGCGACGCACGGAGAGCAAGGAGGGGCAAGCGAGGGAGGGAGCGACGGGAAGGTGCGTGGGAGACCTGTGACAAGTCCCTGACTGAGCATGCCACGAAGGCGAGGGATCGACGGGTGGCCAAGGCGGTGGTGCCACAGGACGGTGCGGTGGGCGAGAGAGCGACAGAAGCAAGACGCAGCGAC